AAACTAAAAGCCGGGAGATGAAACTGGAGGAGCTAATCAAGGAGCTCACGGCGGCTACTGATACGGCCTATAAGAAGGTAGCCGACTTTGAACTCCAAGTCAAAAATCTCCAAGCTGATGTCAAAGCCTTGGGGGATGCTGACAAGGAGAACACTGAGCTGCGGGCAGAGGTCAACCGGCTGAAGAATGAGTTGGCCCAAACCTAGGTAGACCACAAGGGGAAGCTGGAGGCTGATCCATCCGCACATCGACTAGGCTTTCTTTGACCTGCGATACAGATACGCCACTGAGGTGTTTGATGCCCAGGTTCTCGGAACAGAGAAGGCGACTCCCTTTGAAGAATGGGCCAGCATTGCCGAGGAGGAAGATGAGGAGCAGACGGAAGATCAAATGCCGGGTGGGGCTAACGAAGCTCAAGCCCAGCAAACTCAAGAGACTCCTCTTTCCGGCCAGGGCCAGCCGTCGGAGCATCAGCAACAACAGTAGCAGTAGCTTAATTTGTTTTCTTCTTTCTTTCTTCTTCCGGCTTGCTAGCTGTGTAGTTTGTTTGTGTCTTCTTTCCCCGGACATAGGTCCGGATGACAATATTTTCATATTAATATATTTTGCCGACTGAGTTAGTTTTGCCTTTAATATTATTTGATTCAATTTTTGCAATTTTTGCTCGTACAAATCTTTTTATTTTTGCAATTTGATTCGATACGTGCGGTATGCCGGATGCATTGGCTCTGCCAGCCCCTGGACCGTTGTTTGCTTAATATTATTCAACTCTAAGCAAGCAACCGTCCATACAAGCATCCGGACAAATAGATAGGCGATCATTGACCGTATTTTAAGTAGAATTATTCTAAGTTGGATTAGCAAACGGTGCCAGCTAGGGCCAACCTATATTATTCTTTTAACCGCCTGCGGATTTCCCTTTGGGTATCTGTCATTGCCGTTTGCTGGTATTCAGGCAGCCATTAGCCGAACGGATGTATCATAACCAAGTTATGGATTAAATGCTAAGGTTTTGACCTTGCTTAATTTGAGTTTGTAACCGGCTGTAGTGCTTTGGTGCAAAGACCGGTTACCTTCGACCAAGATTTTAGTTACCGTCTGTGTTGCTTTAGAGCAACGACCTGTTGTATCTTGGTTTCAATTAATCATTCAAGCAGCCATGGGTTAAGTTTAACCTAGACATTCGGTCAAAGCCGCTTAAGTTATGATTTATAGAACAATGTACCACCCAAATGGGAGATGCTCTCTTCGACGAATTCACCTAGATGGGTGTCGCCGATTGCCTGCTCATGCTGGAGCAGGCGACTTAAGATATATCCAGCCATTGGCCTTATGAATAGCTAATTTTGATACTTAGCTTACGTCTACTCTGTTTAGAGCAGACGGTTGCCCGGTTGTGCATTGCACATATGGAACTTTGCACAAATGACAATGAAAATAAAGCATTCTTTTCATTAATATACTCTATTTACAAAGATTAACAAGTCCTTAGTAGTACTTTTTCAAGTTATCTACGTTCCAGGTTCTGGCTATCTTCCTGCCGTCTGGAGTTTCTAGGCGGTAGGTACCGCCTCTAACTTCTTCAAAAATCCAATAGGGGCCCTCCCAATTAGGGGTTAACTTTCCTTGCTCATTGGCCCTAGCATGATTCGAAGTGTTGGCTCATAAAGTTCGATAGGCAGGACGGCTTCAGTGCCGTATATAATGAGAAACGGGGTTTCACCGGTTGCCCCTTTTTCAGTTGTTCTGATGGCCCATAGGACATGAGGCAACTCATCCGCCCATAGACCGCCAGCCCTTTCAATTTTCTTCTTAATGCCGTCTGAGATGAGCTTATTGAAGGCTTCAACTTGGCCGTTTGCTTGGGGACGGCCAGCTGATGCAAAACAATGTGAGATCCCTTGATCACCCAACCAGCTCTTGAGGGTAGGCGTTTCAAACTGAGGGCCATTGTCAAAGACCATAGACATAGATACCCCAAACCGGGTGATGATGTTTCTCCAGATAAAAGAGATGACATCCTTTGTCTTAATTCCTTTAACCTCCTCTGCCTTTACCCATTTGTTGAAGTAATCTACAGCAACCAGGACGTACCTCTGTCCGCCTGTAGCAAGCGTATATGGACCCAGGATGTCCAAGCCCCATTTTGCAAATGGAACCGGGGTGAAGATAACCGTCAAATCAGTGGCTGGTCGGTGTATGAGCCGGCCAAATCTTTGACACTTATCGCACTTCTTCATCATGTCCATGGCGTTTTCCTCTAGAGTGGGCCAAAAGTAGCCTTGCCGCCTGGCCCGTTTTGTTAGAGTTCTGCCGCCTATATATGATGCACAAAAGCCCGAGTGTAGATCCTTTAGAACTTCTTTTCCCCTTTCTTGGGTAACATATTTCAGCAGCGGCTGGAGGTAACCCTTCCTGAAGAGTTCCCCCTTGTAGATCTCAAAACATGAGGCTCGCTTTTTCAATGCAGTCGCTTCTGAAGGGGCGTCCGGAAAAGTGTTGTCTGCCAAATAAGCTCGGATGATATCCATCCAGGTAGAGCTTCGGTCAAGAACTCCAATGGGATCATGTTCAATGTTTCTTTTTTCCATGACTTCCCAAAAGACTGACCTAGGCGCATCACAAGAGGCGGATGATGCCAACTTAGACAGTGCATCCGCCTGATTATTTTCTGACCTGGGCACCTAACTTAGATGAAACTCGTCAAGTGTCCCAGCCTCGTCTTTGACCGCCTATAGATATTTGATCATAGCCGGATGGGTGGCCTCGTAGTCACCATGGTATTGGCTAACAATCAACTGAGAATCTGAGTAGGCGTCAACTTTTCTTGCCCCTGCCGCCTTACACATGCGGATACCGGCTAGTAGGGCCTCATACTCCGCCTCATTGTTAGAGACATGGAACTTGAACCGTAGTGCATATTCATATTATTGGTCCCTTTCCGGAGACGTGTAAATTTTGCCTGCACCACAACCATTCATAGTTGAGCTCCCGTCTACATAAACCTTCCAGACCTGATCAACATTGTTCGGTTGAGCCGAACTTTTCATTTCCACAATGAAGTTGGCGAATGCCTGACCCTTCACTGCCTTTCTTGGTTCGAAAGCGATTTCTAGACTTTGCATTTCAATAGCCCACTTGAGCATTCTGCCGGATGACTCCAAGGTTGTCATTGGCCGCTTGAGGGGTTGGTCTGTGTAGACCACCACCGGATGTGCCAAGAAGTATGGTTTCAACTTCTTGACTGCCATGAACAGCGCGAGACCAAATTATTCAACCAAGGGGTACCGTAGCTCAGCATTTCGAAGAACATGGCTAATGAAATAGACCGGGAACTGAATGTCGTCTCTCTCAGCTAGGAGAACGGAACTGAGGGCATGATCTGAGACGGCCAAATACATATAGAGAACCTCTCTTGCTAGAGGGCTGACCAACCATGGCAATAAGTGGAGGTGCTATTTCAATTTTTGGAATGCCGCCTCAGCATTTTCCCCCCATTCGAATCTAGTTTTCTTCTTGATTGCCTAGAAGAAGTAGAGGCACTTGTCGCCTGACCGGCTGAGGAATCTCCCCAATGCTGCCAGACAACCGGTAAGTTTTTCGACTTCCTTGACAGTGCGGGGTGACTTCATGTCAATTACCGCCTGTACCTTTTTCGGGTTGGCCTCTATCCCCCTTTGATCAATCAAAAATCCAAGAAACTTCCCAGACTCAACACTAAAGACGCACTTTTTGGGATTAAGCATGACCTTTTGCCGTTTAAGGGTGGTGAAGGTTTCTCGGAGGTCAGCAAGGTGATTCCTCTGGAGCTTAAATTTGACTATCATGTCATCTATGTACGCTTCTACATTCCTCCCAATTTGATTAATGAAGACCGTATTAATCATCCGCTGGAAGGTAGCAGGCGCATTTTTCAGCCCAAATGGCATCACTAATAACCCTTGATCTGTGATGAATGTCGTCTTCTCTTGATCTTTTTTCCACAAGGGTATCTGATGGAAGCCTGAATAGGCGTCCACGAAGCTCATCAAGGCATGACCGGTTGTATAATCGACTAGATTGTCGATCTTTGGAAGTGGATAGCTATCCTTTGGACATGCCTTGTTTAGATTTGTGTAATCAACACACATCCGCTAGATACCATTCGTCTTTTTGACAAGGACAACGTTTGCTGCCCAATCCGGGTAGTAGCATTGCCGAATGAACCCGGCATCGAGCAGCTTCTTAACCTCGGCGGCTGCCGCCTGAGATCTTTCCTCGCCGTGGTTCCTTTTCTTTTGCCTAATCGGCTTCTTTTTTGGATCCACGGCGAGTTTGTGGACAGCAAGATCCGGGCTGACGCCAGGCATCTCCTCCACTTAAAAGTCAAAAATGTCTTTGAAGTCCTTCTGCAGTTGGTGCAAATCTGCACCCAACTTTTGCAAAAGCAACCGTCCCCACTTTAACGGTTCGTTCCGGACGGCTGTCATCTAGAACAATGTCAATATTTTCACCACCCAGCTGGGGACGGAGATCATCTGACCGCTCCCCGATCAGTGATTGCTATTGCTTCTCTTTTTTGACGACCACCAGGTGGTTCGCCTTCCTCTTTTTGCAGGCTGCTTTGGGAGCAGGCGCGGCTACCTTGTAGCCATCAAGGTTGATTGGCTCCTCGCCTTGGCCGGCTGCGGCCACAGTAGGCTTGACGACTGAGAGATAACACTCCCTTGCAGTCTTCTAATCCCCATTCAGGGAACCCACTGACCCATCACCCCTCTCAAATTTGATCAGCATGAGGGATAGGATGATGACTGTCTTGGACTCATTGAGGGTTGGACGGCCCAAAATTAGATTATAAGCGGTCAATTCCTCGACCACCAAGAACTTGACGACCATGTGTCATCCTTCCCCCTTTTCTCTTAGCCGGATGGGTAGGTCAATCCTCCCCACCGGATGCACTACCCCTCCCCCAAAGCCAACTAGGGGGTGAGAGGCCTTGTGCATGCTGCTAGGCTTGTACTTGAGCTTCGCCAAGCACTGATAGCTTATAAGGTCAGACGAGCTCCTGGTATCAATAAGGATTTGACCCACTCGTTGGTTGGCAACCTTGCATTCGATGACTATGGGGTCATCATGAGACTGCCTGACCTTGTCCCGATCCTTCTCCACTAGGTGAAAATATGTAATCCCCACCGGTTCAAAACCCCCATTTAGCACCGGTTTTGAACCGGTGGGGATTTGGGGGGTGCTAAAACCCCATACATTTCGCACCGGTTCTGGGGGAGAACCGGTGCCAAAAACTAAACTTTTCGCACCTGTTTTGTCATAGAACCAGTGCCAAAAGTCTTTAAAAATACCACAAAATCAATAAAAATAGAGTACCTTCCTAACCATCATTAAAGAGCATTATATCTTAGATAAATAGAATAAAATCTAAGACAAAAAAAAAAAGCAGACTGCAGTAGCTCCCATTGACCCCAAGCCTGCAACAGAGAATGAGATAGCACAGCCACACCACGACCAGCAACCCCAGCAGCAGCTACAAGCAAAACAGCAACCAGAAGCTACACCATGGCTTGGCAGCCAGCACCAGACCCAGCACGAGCTGTCAAAACCAGCAGACCAACAGCATAACAGTGCAACAGCAACACAAACATACAACAACTTGTCAGCAAAGCAGCACTGAACACAGCAGCGCAACCACAACAGCAGGCAGAAAAGCAGAACAGCAGACCAGCAGGCAGCAAACAGCAGACAACAAACAGAAAGCCAGAAGCTCAAACAAGGCATCCTAACAACCTGAACAAGACAGAAACACACACGACCAACAAGAAACACAGCAACACAGCACCAGCAAGTCAGGCACCAGCACAGAACATGGAAAACAAGTTGAAACCCTGACCAGAAAACCATGACAACAGCAAAAAACAGACAAAACAGCAGCCTAAGAAAACAAGCAGGAAGAATAAAGATTTGAGGCAACTTGCACGATCTTAGTTTAAGAAAAACAGCCTCACCCCAACCCCCCCCCAAAAAAAATATGGCAAATAAAACACCCAAATCTGTAAGAGATGAATCTATAAGATATGAATAAGTAAAAGAAAAGGCAACATAACATACATTCAGAATTCAGTGTTTGCAGCAATTGTTATTCAATTAGAACCACCATATCATATTTCAGTTAAGCACGACAATTAAGAAGGTATGAATATTGAATTACACATCATGTTAGAGAGAAAAAAACTTAAGAAACCCATTTTGTTCCCCTTAATTATGAAGCAACATGTAACTAGTATGCTATCTTGTTCTAATAAATTACATGGGCAAAATGGATCTTCTCAAATGCACCCAAAACAATGTAAGAGCTTCAAATCATGATCACAACCCAAAGTAAACAAATACTAGGCATACTTTTAGCCTATGTTAATCGGACACGACTAAAATTGTGAAGTATTCGTGTCGACACGACATGACACGGACACGTGTCTGACCCTACACGGTGCACTCGGACACTTCCATTAAGAGTGGAGAGGAAAAAAGAGGAGAAACATGAAAGAAAAACACATCTTGTTCAAAGACCACCATTGATAAAGGGAAGATGGAGGAAGAAGATTGTCATTTATTAGGATAATTTACCGAGGAAATAATTAAGATTAAAAAAATAGGGGTGGACGTAATGAAAAATTCAAAGCTTTTGTAATATGTAATTTATTTATATAAATTTAAGTGACGTATTGACGTGTCTATGTACCCGTGTCCAAATATCGGACAGAATCCCCGTGTCTTAACATTTTGGAACTTGCCGGATCGGACACTTGGACATGTGTTTGTGTCCGACACCTGTTCCCAAGTCCATGTAACATAGCTTTTAGCCATACATTGGTAAGTTCGAGTGATTTGAGACAGATAAGATCAGCAACATGTTTCACTCTCACTTCATTGCTTTCAGCTAAACAAACTCTATACATTTCTGGCTTAATAAATATCACACTAAACTGGAAAAATCTAATATCACACTCTAATGATTAAACAGCATAAACAACAGCAGATTTATCATAGTTCCTAAACCACTGAGAAGCTGAGATTAAAGCAAACAACAACATAGAGTCGTAACTAAAGGATCTAATTCAGCTAATTTTCAATAATCATGCCGAGAGGCAAGAGCATCCAAGAAAAACCTCAACCATTGCTGACTTCTTGACCTCAACTTAATAGATACCACACCTAGTCTGACCACTAAACAAGAAGAATAAATGACAGGTGAAATTCGGGTTTGACAAAACAAAAGAGGCAGCAAAAGTTTCCTTCAAACCATCTGACATAAACCAATGCAAAAAATAACATGGAAAGGCGCTATAGGTGCCAAAAAAAATTCAATATAATAACATCCATGGGTAAAGGTTTCCTGCAGTAATACTCACTTTTGTGGGAAGTTGTCATTCACTTTTTCCTTTGAAACTTTGCCACTGAGATTGCTCATTTGGGGAGCTAATTTTCCACCAACCTTTGCTTTTACTTAGGCAATAAAGAGAGAAAGTTAAAATAATTCCATACAATATACCTATATGTTCAACCAAGGGAAATTTACAAAGTACTATACTCACTTGGGAAACCACATTGTTTTTGTTGACTTTTCACTTGTCTTATCTCCCTGTCATACAAATATATACCAGTAATATTATATCACATAATATATATAATGTTAAAACTTCAAGGAAAGCCATGACATCTCTACATGTGTCGCTATTACTTAACAATTGACATGGCATTATACTTTTAGGGATATTTGATTCAATTATCAATTAGGCTCATAATTTTTTTTTCTAACAACATAACCGCTAGTTAAGATATTTCATAATCTTAGTAATTAGAACCAATAGTCAGTTTATCGAACCATAAACTTACTACTCTGATAATTATATTAGATAAATAAAATTAGATCAAAGATAAGCCCTAGATTGTAAATTATAAGAGGAAACAGGAACGAAAAATCCTTGAGCATATAAACTATTCAAATTTTTATAACGGTAATAAGGCAAAATTGATCATAACACTTATAAAAATGCAAAAATATTACAGAGCATTGCAGCAACAAAAACAAAGCAAAATCATACAATACGCAACAATCAAAAATGGCGAAAGAACACATAGATGGAATTCCTTCAAACACATTGCACATAATCAACAAAAAAATAGGAAGCAGATAAGATGTAGGAAGTTACGAAGCCTTAAAAAGAAGAAATATAATTATGGATGATCAAAACCAATAATAGAAATTTAGAAAATTATAATAATCGTAAGAAGTAAAATAGGGAAGAGATTCAACCTGAAGTTGAAATATTGCAGAAAATTTGCAGCAGAAACCCCAGAAGAGAGAAAAAGTGAAGAAGCAGTGATGAATTCTTGAAAAATGAAATTGAACGTGGAAAGATTGAGATTTGACAACCCTAAAACAACAACAACAACCTCCACCATCTAACCTAAGAGTAGTACCGCAACGGAGCACGACAACAGAGGAGCCGCATCAAACACCCACAAATCTAAAGATGAAATCAGAAATTTTAAAACAAAAATAAAAATTCTAGATCATTAATTGAAAATTAAAACGAAACTAAAATGAAAATCAGAAATTTAGATCTACAATAATTGAGAATTAACGAAATTTTATAATGGATGAAAATATATAAGAAATTTTTAATATAAGTGCTAATAGAGATCTCAATATCACACCTTGATGGAGGAGGCAGCGGCACCGAGCATGAACCGAAAGGCGTGGAGGAAACATCACGGCACTCAATATTACTATTCTTTTTCTTCTTCCTCAAGGTTGTGCTTGGTTATGGAGAAGGAGAAGGAGATCGAAAGAGAGAAGAAAGGACAGGAGAGAGCGACAGACCAGTACGCTTCAATAGAGGAGAGAGAGGAGAGAGAAGGAAAAATCGTGGAATTGAAAGAGAAAGAAAGAACTAAAATGAAAGAGCTGAGAAAGAAAGAAAAAATAAAAGAAAACCGTTTTTTTTTTTATTTCACAACAGTTTGAACCGGTGCGATTTACACACTTTTCCCACCGATTTTGTAAGAACCGGTGCAAAAACAAACTTTTCGCACCGGTTTGGTTAGAACCGGTGCGCATTTGGCGGTGCCCATGTCCGTTTTTCTACTAGTGCTCAGAGATGAGGACCTCAAGGAAGGTGTCTTTCGACGCCTGGCCCTCATCCATTGAGTTGACCAACTTCCTGATGTTGTCCTTGGTACCCCGGATGGTAGGACCCCCTCCCGCGAAGCCGCCTACTATGGTGAAGATCTGATCTTCATTAGTGTCAGAGCTTATAGCCGGCTTCTTCGACGGTTGTCCATTGTTTGTTTTGGGGTTACCCTTGGACTTCAACATATAGGACTTCAAACCCCCCTCATCAGCCAGACGCTCCAATAGCCGCCTGAGGGTATAGCAGCCATTGGTGTCACGGCCTATATCCTCATGGAAATGACAATACTTGCTGTTGTCCCCACTTTTGATGGGACTCTTCATTGCTGCTGGTTTTTCAATGGTCAACCGGTCTTTGATCTCCATGAGGATGGAGGAGCAGTCCTTGTTGAGCTCGTACTTGGGAACAAACGGCTTCAACTCTCTCTTTTTCTTCTGGGACGACTGACCAGAATGGTCCGCCACCCAGACTTCTTTTCTTTTCTTGCTCTCTTCTTTTTTAGTTGGCTGAGCAGACCGACTCTCTTTTTTGTCGGACTTTTTAGGGTCCCACGGGTGCTTGATGGCACAGAGCTCCGTCGCCTGTATGTAGGCTTCGGCTTCCATCAATGCCTCTTGGAGGGTAGCAACCCTCTTTCTGACCATGTCGAACTTTAAAGTCGACCCGTCCTTTAGACCCTTGAAGAAGTCTGTGTAGGCAACTTCGTCAAACAGCCCTTGAATCTGAATTCTCATCATGTTGAACCGCCTGACATAGGACCTTATCCCTTCTCTATCTCCCTGCTGAATAGCCCCCAAGTCGAGACTTGTCTTTTTGGCAGGGATGTTCATGGAGAAGTTGGACGCGAACAGGTATGCAAGCGTCTTTAAACTGTTGATGCATCCGGCTGGCAGATTGTCAAACCATCGTTGGGCTATGCTCTTCAATGTTGCCGGGAAGCATCGGCACCAGGCGGCATCATCCAACCCTTCAATTACATGTGGTTGGTGTAAGCCATTAGGTGGTCTTTCGGGTTGGTGGTACCATTGTAGGTACCAACCAACACGTTCTTAACCTTGGCCGGCTGAGCCGCCTCGGTTATCTCCCTAGAGAACGCCGACGACTGTTCCCCAAGGTTTAGCAGCCGGAGCTGCCAGTCCATGGGCTGGACATTTTGTGCTGCCTGATCCCCAAAGAGGGCCGGCTGCATGTATGATGATTTATACGACATGTATGGCTGTTGGGGCACATACGGAGCCGGATGGATAATATAAGGGCCAGTACGTGCGGACATGCCGCGTGATTGACTCTCTCGGTTTGTTTTCGAATACTTCATTGAAGTATTTCTGAAACTTTATGGGTACGTCGACGTTGAGGCCGTCTCAGACAATTGTTGACTTCTCTTCTCCTGGATTATGAGTAAGTCTTTTTTAACCCATCCGGATGAACTTGCTGGATGACCTTCCTTTGCCCTGATTCAGGGAAACGAACTTTGGATAGGCCGATCATGGGCCCATCCGCCCCTTTAGGTTTAGGGCGAGGAGTAGGCACACGATCTTTCACATGCTTCTTCCCGGAGGGAGAAGGCTTCTTGGCTGACAGACCCTTGTTGGTGTCAATTGACTTTTTTATTATGTCCTTGATCTCCCCCTTGAAACTCGTCATGAATTTCATGAGCTCGTCTCTAGTTACGGGGCAACACCCTCAACCTCCTGGGGTTGCCCAGCCGACTTGACGGTTGGGCTGCTAGGACCAGCTTTGTCTTCACCTTGTTCCCTTGTTTCCTTGGAACGGGTGCGTCTCGTTCTAAATGACCCGTTTGGGGCCACGTAGGTGTTGACCTCAAAGTCGTCACCACTATTCTTGTCCGTGTGGACCTCGATTTCTGCCATAGGTCGTTTGCCCTCAACATGCGGTACAGATTATGATGCCATCTAGGAAGTACTCTCCCCACAAACGGCGCCAAATGTTTCGGGGTTTTTGGAGTCCCTCGGGAGAGTTACAATTCCAAGAATGCGCGTCGACTGTCTGTACCTGCTAAAATCACGAAAACTCCGGTTGGGTGGAGTTCTGCCTCCGACGATCAAGTTAGAACGTTTCCGGATGTATAAAAGTGCGGAATGTAAGGTTTTTCTCTCGGATTTCGAGAGAATTATGCAATTAATGTTGCTCGGGTTTTGTGTATGTATTTATGAATGTGTAATAAATGAGGATTTTCCTCTATTTATAGTGGAATCCCCTTTTAGGTTAAAGTGCCACGTGTTAGTAAAGGATTGGATCCCCTTGGGCCTCTCTGAGGCTGACACGTGTCAGCATGCTATTGGGCCACGTGGATAGGATATTTTTACCCTAAACAGGAATCACTTAAGCTTTTGTACTTGGTTTTGCATAAGTTGCACACTGTCGCATCCCAAGGTTAGGTAGATGTGGGTCGAAGAAAGAAACGTCAATTGTTAGACGAGGCTCAAACTGGTTTATCAAGATAGATAGTATATTTGAAAGGGGAAAGGTGATATGATGTGGCTACAAGGGTGCCTCAAATCATTGGTGAAAGGAATGGTGTCCTTCCAGCATGTGTATTATTCCGATAGAGGGTTCAAAATTACTATAGAGGTAATTCTTCAGTGAGGTCAAATGATCCATAATGCCTAGGTGGAGGCCGCTTCCGATCAGTAATATCAAGGTACAATTGATATTACAGCTTAATCTTAACTGAACCCTTCGGGTCGAACCCAATCGAATATCCGATCCGTGACGTCGAATAAATCCGAAAGGATTTAATGAGTCAACAGAGTTTTACGAATACAGACGTCGGAAATCGAGCCTAGGGCGTCGATACCGAGCGTCGCAAAATCACAAGCAACAGGTATGAGCATAGCCGTAGCTAGGCTAGGCTAGCTCATAGCATGCCTAGGTGCACCATGGTGTGCTAGGCACCATCGCAGCCTAGGCGCACCCTGGCAGCCCATCGCAAGCTAGCATGGGTGCCTAAGTGCGCATGGCAGCCATCGCAAGCCACACAGGCACCAGGCAGCCCATAGCAGCTAGCAAGCATGCTAGCGTGGTGCCTGGGTGCATGTGGTGCCCTTATCGCAGCGCACAGGCCTTGCTAGGCACCATCACAAGGCCTGGCACCACGCACAAGCACCATCGCACTGCCAGGGGCATGCGTGTGTGTGTGCGTGTGTGCCTCGCACACTGGCCTCGCACAGCAGTCGCGCAATGCGTGTGGGCTGGTGCGTGTGCGTGCAATGGCTGGCTAGGTGCTAGGCAGCAGCACCATACATGCATGTGCGTGTGCGTGTGCGCTTGCCTCACACCAAGCGCAAGCAGTGCTAGGCACTGGCTAGTGCGAGTGTGTACATGTGCGTATGGGGTAGCAATGTTTAGGCTGGCAATACGTGAGGTGCAGCGATGGACGCGAGCATGTGCGGATGGCTGGTGCGTGATGCATGTGCGACCAGCCAGTGCGTAGCATGCGAAGCCAGCGCCAGCAATGCGCAGCTAGCACTGGCTGTGCTAGCGATGCGATGCGAGGAGAGAGATGCGTGGTGCGATAGGCATTGCTAGGCTGCCAACAGCAGCGCCTAGCACTGGCCAGCACCAGCGCCTAGCATGGCCTGTCACCAGGCATGAGAGGCTGCTGGGCAGCACCACGCTAGCTGGCTGGGCTGGCCAGCGCCATGCTAGCTGGCGTGCTAGCTGGTAGCAGCCCAACTGCCCATGTGGTGGCGGTTTAGGTGAAAGGGTGGGGACCAATCTTGGGCAAAGCCTTGAGGATCAAGGCAATGGTCCCCCCCACCCATTCATGGTCCTCACCTAACCTTCTCTCTCTATTTGACACTTGTTGCATTGTGATTAGTTTTGTTTAATAATTTATTTTAGAAATGAATTAATTAGCAAAATGCATTCTCCCACATTGGTGGAGGATGAAAAATCAAGGGATCATTTCCCTATAAATACCAAGCTTGGTATTGGGATTTGAGACAACCTTGAGTGGAATTAAAAAGGCAACTCTAGAAAAGAGTAAACCTTTGATTCGTAAAACTCATAGTTATTTTGTCCGCGTATTGACTAACCTTCAAGACTTAGGACGCTCGGGTCGGGTCGAGGGTACGATCCGTCGGAGATCTCGTCTTTTCGGGATTTTGAAGTAAGAGCTCTTTAGGAGCGAAGCACGCGTCAAAGGTATAATTCTTGTCCTTAATCTTGTTTGATTAAGTTAATTATGCTTGTTTAATTGCTTTAATTAAGGGGCGGGTCTTGGTGGGTTTCCTTCCGCGTAGTGTCGGGTCACTATGAAACCCTACAATTGGTATACCTTGTGCTTAGTTCGGCAAGGATTTTATTTTATTTTATTTTTATTTTTTATTTTTAATTTTTTATATAAAATGCAATGCAATGCAATAACCATATGCAAGGAAATAAATGCTCATTTTATTTAAATGGAAAGGTAAAAACAAACTCGTGAAATAAATCTAAGAAATGATGGAGGGTGCCTATGCTAGACTTATTAAAGGAAAGGGAAAACAAGTATAAGATAAGAATCATGAAATCTTGTCTTTGAAGCCCGTCTCGTGCTTTGTACTTATCATCACTTGGCCTTCTTCTTGCTCGGAGGAACATGAAGCCAATTCGAATCAATGAGGTCTTGAATGTGGTCCTTAAGGGTGAAGCATTCTTCAGTAGTGTGACCATTTCCTCGATGGTATTTGCAATAGGAATTTGGATTCTAATTAGGAGATCGTCTCTCTGGTATTGGATCTTGGATTGCTCCATTGG